GCTTCCGCCTCAGCCGCTGCCTGGGTGTGACGTCATCGCCGCGCGCCGGCCGCGGCCCCGTTGCTAGGGTAACGGCGGCGCCGGGGCCCGGTGAGTGGCGCCCTCTGGGCCCCGCGCCCGGCACTTCTGGAAGCAAACACACAAAATCCCACCAAAAAAAACCCCCACCACCACCCAAGGCTCGTTTGTTTGTTACTTCCTGGGTTTAGGAGAAGCGGTTTTTATTCAGATACATTGCTTCCGGGTGTCGCAAAGATGAACGGCAACTGTTGGACTTGTGGTCTACAGAAATTAAGAGCTTGTTTTACAAAATCAAGGAATTGTCAGAGTTGGAAGGGAGCTCTAGAGATCATCTAGTCCAACTCCTCTGCCAAAGCAGGATTGCCCAGAGCATATTACTCAGCACTGCATCCAGGCGGGTCTTGAAAATCTCCAGGGAAGGGGACTCCACACCCTCCCTGGGCAGCCTGTGCCAGGGCTCTGTCATCCTCACCAGAAAGAAGCTCTTCATTTTTGAGTGGAATTTCCTATATTCCAGCTTGTGCCCGTTGCCCCTCGTCCTGTCACTGGGAACCACTGAAAAGAGCCCATCTCCATCATCCTTCAACCCACCCTTTAGGAACTTGTAAACAGATGAGGTCTCCCCTCAGCCTTCTCTTCTCCAGGCTAAAGAGCCCCAGCTCTCTCAGCCTTTCCTCCTAAGGGAGGTGCTCTAATCCCTTAATCACCTTGGTTGCCCTATGCTGGACTCTCTCACGCAGTCCCCTGTCTCTCTTGAATGGGGCAGCCCAGAACTGGATGCAGTATTCCAGTTGTGGCCTCACCAGTGCAGAGTAGAGGGGGAGAATGACCTCCTTTCACTTACTGGCCACAGTAGGACAGTTTTCTCTCACCCTTTTTTCTAGGGTTTGAAGTTGTAGCGATATCACTCAACAAACATTGGAGATCTGGGAGTTGATGTCATTTAAGCCAGGATTTTACATACAGAACTGCAGGGCAGGAGGCAGTGAGGGTGCGGTATTAGCAGCACCTGGACTGAAATACTTTCAAAAGAGATTTCTTGTCAGCAGTGAGGAGATGGGAGTAGCGGGGAGACATGGCTTGCAGAGCTCAAACAGAAGATCAGGACTCAAGCCCAGTTCTCCTGAACCTTGACCCTCTGATCTGCTCAGAAGGCCATACTGACAATACCCGACTCAGAGGAGCTAGGAGCTAGCATCTCGGTGACTCTCTGGGCCAGGACACCAGGTGAACTCCTTTTATATCACACCACCACCATCAGGGACCCAGGGTGTGGTTTCATGCATCCTCTGAAGAGGTGGTTTCCAGAGGCCCAGAGCTCCTTGAAGGCGCATGGTTGCCAAGTGTGACTTACTCAACCCAAAAGCCTTGCTGCTCTCCCTACTTTAGGACCCAACCCATCACAGACAGGCTCTGCTGGTGTCTTACTCCACAGCCACGCTCCTTCAGGTCTCACTTTTGCCTGAGCACTCCCATCATCGTTGTGTGCCCTGTGTGTTGGAGGCATTTACGCTTGACTGTGCTGGCCAGCAATACGACAGGGCTCCTGCAAGGTACCAGGACCTCAAGAAAGGCAGCACTTACATGGCGCACCCAGCACGCTTCTGCCTGACCCTGACTACTTCAGGGATCATCAGTTCACTGCAATGGGGCATATCTCCCCACGCTGATCTATATTTATGTACAGGCACTAACAATCTCTGCCATTGCCATGGCTGCAGGTCAGAGACAGTGGCCGGGAGGTGGTTCCCTTCCTCAGGCTGCGGAGCTGAACGCCCTGCCTTGATGGCCTGAGCAACCTCAGACGTGCGACCCAGCTCTGCTGTGTGACAAGCACAGCCACAATGGTCTATTTTGTAACTATAAACCAAAAAAGATTTAACAACCCTATACATTTCTTTTGGAACCATTTGCAAGTGTCAGGATATTTTCAATATACATCCCCTCTTAAAAGCTACAGTATATTCACTTTCTTCCAGGAGTTTTTTTTGAAATGCTATATATATACTCAATAACTTTTAGAACAACTTGATCCTTGTTTAGGTAATTGTATCTATAGTTGTTTTTTTTTTTTTTTTTTTTTTTTTTTTAAACATCCTTTTTACTTGCAGTATGTACCACACAGCTCAGTGTCTTTGTATGGTAAATGAAGGAAGAACCTGACCACAAATTCAGGTAAAGCTGCTGCAACCTACAGTGTCGTGACCTGGAAGGAGCCAGTTCAGCTGGAACAATAACTATTTTATGAGTAGAAAACAGCTGTAGCAATATTTCTTTTGTTAGAAATTAGTTCTGCCCATATTCTATTGTGCATAGCTTTTGTAAGAAGGAGCAATTGCCTAGCTGAGAAAAAATAAGGACCTTTTTATTGTATAAAGCTATTACAACAGACAGAAAAAATGATCCTATTATTAAATTGTGACCCACCATCAAAGCTCAGAAACTGCTCACTGAAATCACTATAACATTTTTAAACAATATGTATCATCTAAACTCAGCCTTGAAAATGAGTGAACTAGTTTTGCTGAAACATTCTCCCCCCAAATCAGTCAAAATATGGTTAAAAACTAAATAATGAATGATTCTTACACTGGGAAGGGTGGAATATTTCAACAAATATTATTAAGTTTGGCATAAACATAATTTAAAATAGTTTGTCACTCATTCACTGTTACATAGTCTGCAAATATTATGTTAAATAGGCAATAATTAGCAGAAATAGCAGAACGTGTTCCCGTTCATGTATCTTTTCTTTACCCCAAAGTAACCATCTCTTGCAACCTATAGGTTAGTATTTATACTTTTCCACTTGGATCTAAAGCACGTAAGCACTTGACAATAAATTACATTAGTTCTCATATATTAATAATATCTGGAGGATATTCCAGCTGGCTTGATGATCACTAATAATTAGGGGTAGAATTTTCAAATGTTAATTTTATCCCCTTCCAGTCTAGCTGCCTTCCTTTCCTAGTCTCTCTCAGACAAGTTATTTCTCCCTCTAAGCCCTACGCTCCAGCTTTCTTTTTATTTGCTAAGGAGGAAATCCTGTAGTGAAGGGGGTTTATAACTACTGCATTTCTAGGAAAGGTTTTTTACATCATGAGTAATGTCAGGTTCGGAATTATGGGACTGCAACAAGGGCAAATCCTGTGACAGATAAGTGCATCTCCTTTGTTTGAATACTGTTTGTTTTGATTTTTAAAGAATATGCTTTATTTGCTGCATTTATGCCTGTTGTTTTTTTTTGTTTGTTTTGTTTTGTTTTTTTTTTTTTGCCCTGCTTACTCTCACTGCCTCGTCAAGCTTATTCTCAAAACATATTTAAAGAAATTAGGGAGGACTTAAAGAGGTGATGGCTATAAAAAGACAATACTTGTGGAACCCCTAACCTGTCAGTTTGTAGGAAGTAGTCATCAAGTCACAAAAATATGGAAATAGCTATGGCTTGGAGCATGAAAATCAACATATGTAGTCATCATGTATTTTTTGGGAAGATAGGCTAAACAACCTCTGTCACTTTTGCTGTGCAACGGAACCCGCTTTCTCTTTGAGGGATCACCCTGCCACTTCCCATTAGCGTTAGCAGCGCTCCGAATCGCAAAAATCTTGAGATGAACGTGCCGAGTCCTGTCATTTCCCCCACAGGCTGTCTAGCGATGATAATCCACTAAAGGATTGCTGCATCCAAGTGGCCGTGTCCGAGTCAAATGCCGGCAACAGGCAGGGAAACCCAAACCTGTTGAGGCAGACGTCTGCCCCGACGGCAGGAATCGGAGCGACGGCCCTAAAGAGGGCGAGGCGGGGGGACGTACTTTGCTCCAGCAGAATAAGTCCATGGGCTGCACCCGTGATGGGAGACCGAGACCGCCATGGTGATGGCTGGAAGTTTGCGGGCTGCGATGGCGACACTGGCCAAAGCAGGCCCGGGGCTGCGCTGTTTGGAGGAGTGCCTTGTCAGATTAGCCGTGCGGCTACTGTATTTGATGCTCAACCTGGACGGACAGGCCTGCCAGGCAGA